TTATGGCATTCATTTTCTTTAATTGTTAACAAAAATGGAAATTATCATAAAAAAACGAATCTTTTCAAAAGATGAATTTTCAATTTGTTTCAAATTTGCCATCCAGCATTTAAAAGAACTTCATTTTGAAAAGGAAACTTCCTTACAATGTAATCACAGGCTGAGGAAAGTACTTTCTAACACATTGAAAAAATTCTTTTTTTTTCTCATGATCTTTCAAAGAATTTACAAGCTACCCTGGTTTGATTTCCAATTATAAGATCATTGCCATCCGTTTGATTTGCCAAACTATTATAGGCAATATACGAAATCAACACACTGTTTTTCACAACGGACGGTTTTACAAACTTAGTTAAAAGTTCTTTCAAAAGATCATTAAGAATTTGGATACAGCAGGGCAGATTTTGGCGAAGCTGGATTGTAGAAGGGTATTTACACTTTCAAAAATCTTAATGGTACTTAACACAAAACTACAAATATGCTTTGTTCAAATCCGAAGAAAGAAGATAAATCCTTTCCTCCTGGCTAATAGAAGACTGTTTCTTCTTCCCTTCAACTTCTTTAACAAAGTTGACCTTTGAGGAGTCTTCTAAGCATTTTCTTTTTAAAGGGTTTGATTCTGTGTGTTGGCTTTTCCCTTTTAAAACATTTTGATTAGAAGCAAAGTTGGTTTTCGGAATCTTATATGCCGACAAATTTGATGGGATCTGTGGTTTCGTCTTGATCTCTTCATGGAAATTATTTAGCAATGCATCCCACTGTTCAATAAACCTTCCTAGTGCTCTGCCTAAGGATAACCATCTCGTGCATACATGTTTCAGAATTTTTCTCGTTTCACCAGAGGACAGTTCTTGGAAATTCTTTAGGTTTTTCTTTCCTTTTTACACTTTTTCTCAGATAGAAAAACACATCAATCAGAAGCTGGTTAATATTTAATGGTAAAGCAGCTGCAGCTTTTTTTGCTGCCAAATTAATTAAGTGGCATGGGCATCCAATAACAATTAATTCATTTTGTTCTTTTTTGAGGAAAGAGGCTACACCCTTTTTGTCACCCACCATGACATGAGCATTATCTGCACCAAATGAAATTTGAAAAAAATCATCCTCTTTCTTTGACGTCGAAACCGAAGCTCCCTTGCTGCTGAAGCGAACGCGAAAAAAATAATCTGGCACCCTCAAAGAAAAGAGTGGGAGAAACAAGTTCAGCGCATTGGATTGGCCGGTTAAGCGGCGAGTTGGGAGAAACCGCAGGTTACTGGATTCGAAGTAGTCGGTAGTTGGCGGTAAAACACGATGCAATTGGCGAATCGCTGAATTGGCGAAAAATTCTAAAATTTTGACAAAAATCAGCGGGGCATGGCATTTGACCATCTCAGCATTTGGAGATTCAGGACTGCCTGTGAGCAAGATTTAAAACAAAAACCATTCAGGCAATGGGAGAGTGGGAAACCAGGAATAAGAAAAATTTATCAGGATCATGGAGTGGGTAAAATAGTAACAAATACAGATAGATGTTATTTAAGAGGGTTACAAGCAGAATAATTACAGTAATAAGTAATAGAAAAAGAATAAAAGTCTGACATTTTATTTTTGACTTAGTTTCCTACTTCGGAGATGATAAAGTAGAAAATAAACATTTGATCTATAGCATCCGTAACTCCTCTAAGTTGTTGATATTTTTATAGGCAGAGATAAATTTGCTTATGACATTTTTTCCAAAGAGCTCATTCACTTCTTTAGCAATTTTTAGGATACTGAAGATTTCAAAAAGTTCATTTTTATCATTGCTGTTATAGGAACTAACATCCTTAAAGTTTTTAGACTAATTAATTTTAGTTTGTGCAGTCTTATACAATAGTGAAGAATTAAGTTCATTTTGTTTTTGAGTCACATTTTTAAGTGCTTGCATAAAAGTCTTTCCTGGCTTAACCAAATTTTCTCATTTTTGCTGTCAAGTCCTGTTTTTTGGGATTAACACAAAATTTGTAGTTGGCAGTGAGAGGTTGGGAGTTTCAAGCTTTGTCTGATATGGACAGTCAGTCGATTTGCGCAGTAGACAGCATTTCACACATCTTGGCTCGAAATAGCAATCTCGAAAAGAATGACGTCACTGCTGACAATTATGACATTGCAGCACCCGATTCTTCGTAACATACTTCTCGACCAAGATCATGAAGTACATGACAGAATGCAAATCATAAATTTTACTTACCATGTCATTCTTAACAAAATATGTAAGAAACAGGGACATGGAAGCCTTTGTTCATCTTTCAGTCAGTTAAGCAACTTTATTAACGGCAAAACCATGGTCAGGAGGACATTGGCAATCCTAGAAGTATCAGTTTCCACAGGAAGACATCTTAACATATACAAGAAACAGGGACATGGGAGCCTTTTTTCATCTTTTAGTTAGTTAAGCAACTAACTTTATCAAGGGCAAAACCTTGGTCAATGAGGGCATTGACAATCCTAGAAGTATCAGTTTCATACTTGCCAACCTATGACACTCAAAAATCAGGAGATTTTTTTAAGAAATCGGGACATTTTTCATAATGTTAAAAAGACTTTTTAAATGATGAAAATATAGTTTTTGATAATGAATTTAAATAGTAACTAATTCTTAAATGCAAGCAACACAAAAATGCCTTACACATAAAAAACATTTTTATTACTTGCATCGTTTTAAAATAAAATTTAAAAAAAAAAAAACCACTTTAATCAGTTTTTGTACAAATGTTATAAACAGTGGCAGATTTTGCTTTCTTTAAGAAAGAAATTTCATAATTTTGTTCATAGCAATTGCCACGTAGGCCTGCTTTCGCTAATAAAAGTTTTTCTAATTTGTCATCACTAATATTAGATCTAAATTTAGTCCTCGTTTTCCCAACAACATTGAAAATCCTCTCACACTCTACATTACTATGGGGAACTGTCAAGATGGCCAACATAATTCTAGACAGTTCACTATATTTTAAAATTCCATCAGCATCTTTCAGTTTTCCAATTAAACTTTACTGGGTGTCAGTCCTAGCTGATTTTATAACTTCATTCAAGTTTTCTAATTGTAAACTGCTGTTATGCAGTTGTCGGAACTGTTTCAATTTTTCCTTCCTTTTAGAACTCCTTTCAAGATAATAATAAATATCAATAACGTGTTCATCCACATTTATTGGTAAAGAAGCTGCCCCTTTTTCAGCTGCTAAATTTAAGAGGTGACAGGTGCACCTCATAATCTGCAAATCTGAATTTTCCTTTCTCAAGATGCCTGCAACACCAGTATTCAAGCCTACCAATGTTGGTGCATTATCGGCAACAAGGGCTAAGCAATTACCCAGAGGAACTGCATTTTCTTTTAAAGTTTTAATAATTAGCTGTGCTATATTAAAATCTGTCAAATGTCTTCTAAAGTGGGGACAGAAAGTAAACTGCACTCAATTTCTAAAGACTCTGGATTGGATACAGTTTTGAACAACAATTGGATACAGTTTTGAATCGGTATTATTGCTTCCATAGAGAGGCAGAACGGAGCTGTTTTAATGCAATCAATAACTGAAGATTTATTTTTCAAACCCATTTCTTTAACAATTGCACCTGTTTTGGTTCCTTGCACTTGAGTCAGTATTTCTTAGCGATTTCACTATCAGGGAAACATTTTTCTAAATAAAGCTGCAGCATGATCCGATGCATTCAGTGGCAGGTTGTGCTCCAGTAAAAAGGCAGAGAACAGACATTCTGCATTAATAACTTTTTGGTCCTTTGTTTCCGATGAAGAAAAATTTAATTTTTCATTTTTTTTTTTTTTCAAAACAACTCATGTTGTCCTTGTGTTTTTGTGTACGCACATTGTTTGAGAACATCCGCCCTTCCACCACCGTGCGAAATCGAAAAATCGCGACGACAGGCGGTACACATCGCAAATTTATTACATTTCCTTGAGGAAATAATGGAAGGAAAGTCAACTGTGTACGATTTTTGAAATGTACACGAGTATTTCACCTTTCTCACAGACATAACAAAAGATGATAATTTCTAAAACTATTTCCCGAAGGCACGTGTACTCACACAACTGAGGACAAAATGACCGAAATAACTAAAGAACATCCAAATAACAGCTTGCTTTGTCCTCATTGGCTAATATATGCCAGATGGACACGCAGTGGAGCACGATGCCCATTGGAGAACTGGAGAACGAAGTTTCTGGATACGTATATGCTCTCACTCACAAAGCAGAAGTATCTAATTCGCAAGGTTTTGTTTTAGATATAATCTAGAGAAAATTCAATTGCTTTCAGACGTCCAAAATCACTTTTTTTTTTTTTTTTTTTTTGTTCATATAACAAAGTATTAAGCCAAGTTCCATAAAAATCATGAGAAATTTTAAGAATAAGAAAAAGTCGGGAGAAATATATTGTAAATCGGGTTGGCGGGAGAGCGGTCAAAAATCGGGAGTCTCACGCCTAAATCGGGAGAGTTGGCAACTCTGCAGTTTCTACAGGAAGACCTCTTATAAAGACTTTAATAGGTTGTGTGCATTTAGCATTGATCAAACAGTGCTCAATGTGACTTTCTTTGAAGAATGTACTCAGGATCCAATTGTCAGCATCTGAGTGGAGCAGTATTTTCAGATACTCTGCACAGAGTTTGCCTAAAAACTTAGCAGTCGTATTCTGTGATAGTTTTCACAAAAAATATGAGTTATTTAAGGAACTGGGGTTCATCATTATGAGTGAAATACCTGTCGTGGGATCAGGTGTAGGTTAAGGCTTCACAGTTTGATTATCTTGGTCAGGATTTTGAGTAGCTACATTATTATCACACAATGAAACATTAAATTTAATGCTAGTGGTGACAGAAATTTTTCGAATACCAGTTTTGATCTGTTTTGCAGTTTTGGTAGCTTTAACAAAACCATTAGGGTTAGTTTCATTTTTACATTAGATAATATTACTTTTAGAACTATTACCTAACACGGCCTGAATTTCAAAGTGAAAAACACTTACCTCAGAGTTTTTTTACTTGCTTCCAAACATACGCAAGCTTCTGAACTATAAAATAAATGTGTCTGGTGTCTGTGGCAGCCAAAGAAAAATTCCTTCTTTCCATAGATATTGAGGTTAGTTCCTTTGAGGTTAGCTTCAGTATGTTCCAAGTACTCAACTTCCTTCAGGAGTCTTTTCAATTCATCAGGATCAAGAACATTAGCAGATGTGAAGCAAACAGGATCAAGAACTAATATATCGGTGGAATCACCAGGAGGCATAACAGTTTCCAAATCCTCAGATATAAACTTTGAGCAATCTTCACACTTGAAAGCATGAGGCTTATCCTCTCTGGAGGCAGTGTTCTGATACAAGAGCATGCTGATGAAGAAAACAGTGGGTCCCCTGTAAATGCAGAATTTCTTGTTTCATCAGTGGAAAAAAAAAATCTTGATTATGTCTTAACATACCAGAGGCACCATCAGTACATATAGAACTAATAGTTTAGATATCCAAGTCATACTTTATAAGTCCTTCACTTACTGCTAGATGACCTTTCTTTCTGTTGTGCAGCGAAATTCAATTAAGTAATTTATGATTTATCAAAATTAATTTTATTTATATTCTAAATCATGCTACACGATGTGTATTTTTATTTAATCCATGTGTGAGTTTCTTTACCTTTTATTGGGGTTTTTGTACTTAGAATTTATACGTACATTTCACTCCTTGTTTTGTAAACGCACTGACTAGACAATGGAATTAGGTACTTTCTCGCATAATTTTTGATTTATTGATACTTAATTTAAGCTTACCTATTCATAACTTATATTACTGGAAGCAGAAAAATTAGCTCTTCAATTTAAATATACTTTCAAGCCAATAGTTATAATTGATTTTGAGTTCATGAGGTTTATTTAACTTATTTTTGCAATTTTTGCCGTTTTTAGTAAATGGTAAAGAACAGTTTTGGGGCAAGAATTTAGCTGTCTTTTTCACTGATAAGAGGACAAGGTCAGGGTAGTTTCCGGTCTTGCGTTGAGTTGGAATAGGTTTGTCTTAGTCATGTGGTTTCTTGGCAGACTTTTTGGCGATACGTAAATTAGGGATTGAATTAATGCCTTGAAAAATGAGAAAATTTTGCAGTGCGTAAGGCAGTGGGCGAAAAAAAAAAGTTTTTTTCACAATTTCTAGCAGTGGTTGGAAACTGTGACTTTCATGTCTAAAAGGGGTCGCATTAGGAAATTTGCTGTCTTCTCTCTCGGCTTCAGACTGCTGTTTTTCAATCGGATTTAGCTCCCACTTAGGAACTTAAGTCCCACTAAGGGAGTAGCCCTAACAGTAACAGCTCTTCTTCCTACTCAATTCAGTGTAGAAAGACTCTTCTCAGTTCTGAAGTTCATCAAATTGGATTTATGGTCCTCTAACAAAGAAGATCATGCTGAAGTTTTACTGTTTCTTAGAAATTAATAATGCCAGTTTTTGCATTTCATAATAAATGCTAATTAATATAAAAAATTTGCTATGCATCAATTTTTTTTCTGTAGCAGCTATTACTTCTTTTATATTACAAAAATAAGCTGTACCCATGTGTATATGTTTACATGTATATGAAGGAGTAGAAGTCGGATTCATTAAAATTCCAGGAGTCGGAGTCAGTCATTTTCCCTACCGACTCCACAGCCCTGGACGGAACAAAATTTGCCATAAATTATATTTTTAAAAGGATTGATAGAAATAGATGCTGTATTTAATAGAAAATAAAAATAAGTTCCTATAAAAAAGATAATATAATCTCATTTATTCTCTTTGTTGATTTATCAGCATGTCATCACTTTATGTCCTCATATCCAAGCCCATATTGCTCCATTTTCAATGAGAATCATTTTTTATGTCGGTTTTCTGTCTCTAACAGCAAGTATTTTGTCTTCTTGTTGCTTTGTATTCCTTACTTTTCTACGTGATTTGAGAATACCGTCTTCTGTTTTTGAAGAACTCATAATACATTGTGCATTTAAATATTTGTAAAAAAATTTTTTAAAAAAACCTTGATTTTCAAAATGGAAAAGTGGCTAGGAGTGACTAACTTGATAAGTGACGATTCACAGGTGATGAATATAGGAAAATCTAATAACACTAAGACTACTGAAATGAAGGAAAAACTTTTTTATAGAAAATATAATAAAAGTTATTTGTCATTTGGATTTACCTGGAATGGAGATGAAATGAACCCACAACCTCAATGTGGTGTTTGCAGTGAACTATTATCCAGTCAAAATATAAAACCATCGTTTCTTAAAAGATATCTCAAATCTAAGCTTGCCAATTTAAAGGATAAATATGAAGAATATTTTAGGGGGAAATCATTGGAGTTCAAAAATAGTACACAAGAGGTGAATGGTTTTGTTACTTCAAGTGGAAAAACTTTGGAACCTAGTTACCTGGTAAGCCTAAGAATTCCTAAGACTGGGCGGGCTCACGCTATTGGAGAAAAACTTATGTTACAAGCAGCTAAAGATATCGTTTCAATATTATTCAACAAAAAAGTGTCCAATGAACTTAATAATACTTCGTTATCAACTGATATGACAAATTCATGAAATCGCAAATTCCAAACTTTTATTAAATTACTTTATACTTTTATTAAATGTTATACTTTTATTTAATGTTAAATTTACGATACATTCATTTATTTTTAATCATTATACTATATTTTGGATCAAAGGTATATAAATCTTTTAAAATTTTGACATATTCTAAAATCAAGATTACGATGAATATTTTATTCCTATTAACAAAAAAAGAAAGAAAAAGAAATTGCAATCAAAGTTTTCTTAAAGAAAATGCAAAATCATTAAAAACCTAATTCATCTAAAACTTCAAAATAAATAAAAAGGCTCATTCTATAAATAAATTCATTTCATGGTTGTTTTATGGAAACGGCCTATACTTCAAATACACTAGATATGCAACTAGAAGACCAATTAATTTTATATGCAACAGTTAAATAAGTCTTAACTAGCAATAGAAACATTACCATTCATTTAATGGAAAATGAATGCAGCAAATTACTCTAGTCAACAAAATTTAGCTTTCTGTTATATGTTACATGAAAGTAAAAGGCTGATTCTTAAGCATTTTCCTGTTGATTTCAAATATGAGGAAAGGTGTCCTATTTATCTTCATCCTATTTAAAAATAAAAAAAGTTACTTAAAATAACCTGAACTTTATTTCTGTAATCAACATAAAAAGTACATAATTAAGTATCTTCGCCTAATTTATGTTGAATCTCATTCATACAAAATGCAATTTACAATCACAAAAATTAAATCATATTTTTTTCTTAAAACAATTTCTTTTGAGGGAGTGGGGAATATAAAGTGCTATTTTGCTTTATATTTACTATTATTATTGTTATTCCTAATCCCATTACTTAAATATCTTTGGTGATGAATAAACATTGTCAGCCTGTGCATACACTGAATGTATCGTACATTTAACATTTAATAAAAGTATAACCTTTTCCTTGTCAAATAGAAAGTTTTTTTAATCTATTTCAAATTAGTTTATAAAATTCTTTATAATCAAATGAGTATTTGAGTAATTACATAATGGAAAGCAATTACAGTAAATGTGATAATATAACGTACTTTTTTCCAGTAGCAGCCTTGGTTAGAGAAAATGGCATTGGCGTAATTTAAGCTTAAGAAAGTGCAATATATTGCCAAATGTTATAAGCATGTAAGAAAATGAAACTCATTACAGTAAATGGCAATTCATTTTACTATTTATATAGTACAAATTATTTAATTTATACATATGAAGGAATTTAATATAAATTGGTATCATTTATTTCTATTTCATAATTTATTATAGTAGTTAACTGAATAAATTGTAAAAGTCTATTTATAATTTTATTTAATACAACTTTGTTATCAATTCATTAGAAAAAATAACATAATGTAGCAGAAAGTTCACTTTTTCAAACTCACTCTGTTGGCCAAAGTTCAGCAGAACAACTCACATTACTGACTTGGTGCCTCAACAATTGGTTTCTTTTCCAGCATATATTTGCATAACTATGCCCATTTTAAAAAAAATCCCTCACTTGGTAAAATACATTTTTCTTGGGAAAAACTACAGCATCTTTTTCAGTTAATTGTAGATTGAAAATAATAAGTATAATGAATATTTGCAATAAAAAACCGCTATATTTTAAACTTGAAAATTTTTACAACCAAAAAAACCATGAACTATGGGCACACACAGTAAAAAATTTTGTATTTTAAAAGCGATAGGAGAAGTAATGCACCAACACAGATCAGTAACTGTCAATGTTTGTTTCTAGCACATATACAGATTGGAAACTGTTTGTTTTTCAGCAATGCAGAAATGTGGCAAATCAAAATTCTCACCAAGGCTACTGCTGAAGACAAGTATACCAAAAATAATTTCATACTTTAAAAAATGAGGGGAAACTACATTATAGAACCAACCTAAATTTGTTTTTGTTCACATAATGTCTAGTACAAGAATATATATAAGTTATACATTTTAGAAAATCACTATTGACCAGTGATATTATAATCTATCCAAAATGATTTTCATCAGTTGGTAGCACATATAATATGAGACTGATTTCAGAAACTGGTACATTTTATGAAAAGAAATTCAATACCATTTGCTTTTCTTCCTCTGCTCTTACATCACTATTTTAAAAGTTCTGAAAACAGCTGGCAGGCCATTTTTTCTCCATTTTTTTAAAAATATATTTGTCAAAATAAAAATTATTTTGAATAAATATTAAATTCTTCTTACAAAATATTTATCAAAACATACATAATAACAACATAAAGGAAAAATGTATATTTATATTTATTTTCGATTTGAAATTTAAAGATTGGTACACACAAGATATTTTTGTTGGTTACACTCTGCAATTTGCATATACTAAATAGCTAAATATAAGTTTCCAGATTAATATTTTTTTTCAAATAATTCTAAATGTTTAATTAATCCTTAAATGACTTAATTTAAACTGAAAATTCACAAATTGTGAAAACTAAGTTTTCAGGGAAAATGTTACAAGTGGGACGAAACATAAATAATAAATAAGAATAAATAATGACAACCTAGAACAGGATGGGCAAACTTTTTCGGTCGCTGGCCAAAAATCAAAAAAAAAAAGTTTGGCGGGCCAAGATAAAATTTTTCTAAAATTTTAAAAACAATATACAAGTATTACAATTTAAATATGTTAATGAGATGATTGTAATTGCACTTTCATTTTTAAAAGTTCCTTATATTGAGGTTCGAAATGAGATGTACTGATTCTAAGGAACGAGGCTAAATGCTCATCTATCAGTCTGAACTAATTCTTTTCTAAGGTTCATAGTTGAAACACTTGTTCACATACATAAGATGAGGCAAACATAGCACTGATTTTCTGGGCGTGAGATATTAAATTTGGGAAACTTACTTTCAATAATGATTTGTAAAACTAACTTTCGCATATTTAGAAACAACTGCTTGAGATGATTGTTAGATTGCAACTCAATTAATTCAAGCTGGCAAATCTGAACACACTGCTTCACAATTTATGTTGAAAGGCATGGTAAAAATATCCTCTTCTGTTTGAATGGCACTGAAATCTTGAGATCTGGATACTGTTTATCTTCTCAAAAAAATTTTGTCGGCCTGATAATTTTTTACAAAGACTTTCTGCATTTTGTTTCCTTTCATATTATTTGTAACTGGAATTCTTCTGCTTAGATGTGAAATGACGGGAAATGTTATATTCTTTGAAGACTGCTACAGCTTCAGCTTCATTGCAGATGAGACACACTGGTTTATCTTTTACAGCTGTAAAAAAATATTTCCAGGTCCATTCATCATTAAAAGCATGGCACTCTTAATCAACTTTACGTTTTTTAGTAGCCATTTCGGGGCTGAAATATTTTATAAATAACCCAAACAAGCACTAGCTATGCTACACTTTTAATAATTTCACAAATATTCACAATGATGCTATATGGTCACTGGCTGGAGCTTAAAATGCACAGTCTGCCACATGTGAGATCTAATTCACCTACACAAGATTGCCATATGTCTGCTCCCCGAGAAAGCGACAATGCTCGTTGATGCCAATCTACAGCTATAACTAACAAAAAACTTTTTGCTTTTAACACTTTACTGATTGAATGCTGTCTGTGCTTGCTATTTCCGTCAATTTACATTTTGTAGAACAAAATTATAGAAAATAAAAAAAATCATCAGACCTTTGAGAAAAGAAAAAAAATAATATTTAAATGAAGTAGAAAAGGAGATGGACATATACAGTCAAAAGTCTTTAATCCGGACTCGTCGGGACTTCGGCGATTCCGGATTATTGATTTTTCCGGATTATAGATCATCAGTTTAAATCTGGTAAGATGGCATGCAGAAATTATAAAATTAAAAATATGAAACCGTAATTTATAAAATAATGAGCAATTATGATCTAAAGGGTATCAAAATTTACCAAAAAAGAAGCCTAATATTTATTTGTTTACTTTATTAAACATTTCTTTCTTTCAACGCGCGGATGCGTAAAGCATACCTTACGCATAGGCCGAAATTAGAAAATTGCAACCAGAAAACTATTTGATTTGTATTCGTGGTATTTATAATGACGAGGAATTTGATTTAAATCATATCAAGACGGAGTACATCGAAATTAAATACTACATTTAGTAAGGAATTATAAGCCGAATAAAATAAAAACATCTGCCCTGAAGATAACGGATAGTGCAAACAGGCCAACAGATCAACTTCCAGTTCATTGCGCGCCGTTGTGACTTCCCCCCCCCGCGAAGAGCAGCGTGAAATTCGATAAACAGATTTTCGGAACGGTCAGAAAAACAAAGGAATATGCCTCTATCCATTTTTTGCAGCAATTGCACTTTTTGTTTGATGGACATCGAAACATACTTTCGCTTTTCTAGATCCTTTGGGAGTTCCAGAGCATCAGAAATTTTTTTTGAACATAATCGAAAGTTCAAGTTTACTTTTATAAAATTGCTCTTAACAGTCTGCAAAAAATATAAGCCGGATCCGATTCGAAGATTAAGGAACAACGCAATCATCAACATTAACTGAAATAGATAATTAGATAATTTTAGCTTATAGCGTCCGTTATACATTAAACGCGCACGCGAAAACGTTTCTGCACTTGCGCAGACGCATATGCGCAGACGTAAATGTCTTGGGCGCACGAGTAAAACGCCTTTGCGCATGCGTCATTGCGGCGCATGCGCAGAAAGATTTTAGCTTTGAGGTCCGGATTATAGATCATTCCGGATTATGGGTGTCCGAATTAACGACTTTTGACTGTACTTCTTTTTATTTGCCTCGGACCGGAAAATTAAAATTCTATCGTTGCCTATCCCTGACCTAGACTCTCTTATTTATTACATTTTTCTGCGACACATAAATTAAAAGACACATGTTTATATATAAATAATTATAAATTTTGTATTTAATTACAAAATTTGATTGTATAATATCATGGACTGGAGAAAAGTTGCTAGAAATTAGCTTCATCATGGACTGTAAGCTGCTCATCAGTCAAACGGGATCTTTTCTTTATTAATTTTCAACTGTGAAAAAAGTCAATCTCAAATAAATATGTTCCCAAATAAAGATAGGCAAAAATATATTTATGGGTGGCCTTTGGCATAAATTGGCAATTTTTGGTAGTATATGGATAGTGAAATTGTGCAATTCTTTGACTTGTTATTTTGGCTTTGTCCAAAAATCACCACTACACAAAGCCAAAATAACAAGTAAAAGAATTGCACAAACTTGGTATCCATTTACATATCAACCTATTTTCACTTAAAAAAAAAATCACAGAATTGCACAAACTTGGCATTGCACACTCCCTTGACCTTGTCCACGTACACATCGATCTATTTTCACTTAAAAAGTTAAAGGAGCTGCCAACACAAAATATATAATCTCAATAAACTACATTTGAAGTCAAACAATTAAATAATTTTAAAAAGGAAATTCATCTTAGCACTACTCCAATGAAATATCCACTTACCTTGAATAGAAGAGAAACATGCCAATGTGACAATCAAAATCGCAATAACAACCTTGTATTTAGCGTAAGTATATTAAAAACACTCAATCGGTTTTGAGGG